AAATAAGGTAAGTAGTCTGACTTTGATAGAAACTGATCAAGAGCAAATGGTAATCATTATAATGCCAGTTACAGCTAAATAGATTGAGTTGAGGGTTGACTTGTGCTAGTCACTATTCTGAACACTTTATGTGGATTAACTAATTTGTTCCTCTGGCAAAGCTGCAATGGGAGTACTATTTATTGTTTCCATTTTATAGATGAGGAAACTGGAACACAGACAATTTGAGTTACCCAGGGTTAGCACTGCTAGCAAATGGTAAAGCTAGTATTTTAACTCAGGCTTACTCAAATGATTGAACAGTGTTTTCACATATGTACTGTTTTACAAATCCTGAATGAAAATTTGCTTCAGAACTCTAGAAGGTAGTATTAACTAAACAGAATGTTTGGCTTGTCTTTACACTAATCTAAAATTCCAGTCTGCGTCCCATAGGATGTTCCCCCCTGCAACTTAATTACATCTGAAGCTATTCAGATACCCATCCGTCACCACTTCATTTTCCGTGGCAGCTGTCAGCCATAGCGGAAGATCTTCATATTAAAGCAATTGAATCTATCATCCTTAAGGCAGGTTAAGATGCAACTAAAGGCTCTTTCCCTTATCTGTGCCTTCTGCTCCAGCTGTTGCCTTATCTCTCTCTTTCCGTTTACAGCCAAGCATGGCATGCTTTTCAGACCTCATCTTCCTGGCTTTTCTGCCAGTTGTTAACCACTTCCTGCTTTTGAGCCCTCAGTGCTCTACTGCTGTCCGCTACCCTATCTGCTTCTCCCTCTTAGGTCCTCATTTTCATTTCAGGCTTTCCATTTGCCATAACCTGTACTGATTGTATGTGTGCCTCCTTATCACCCTTCCAGCTTTTTGAGTACGGGAACCTTTGCATCCTCACCCCCACCCAGCACGATACTAGGTGTGGAGCAGCTACTCATGAACTAGGGTTTAATGTTGTTTGAAACAGCTACTATTGAGAATGCTGTCAGGTAACCCCATAACGACTCCTTGGGGATGGTAAAGGATCCTATTCCAGGAAAATGGTGGATATTACTATCAAAGTTGTTCTCCACACTTGGGAAGCTATGCATGTTTGAAGACCCAGCAAAAGAATGCTGTGGAGAATAAGTGATTAAATTTGCTTACGAAATAAAGACAGGATATTATCATGAGAGAGGGTGAGGGAAGGATGCCAAGGAATGCACAGGAGAGGGATGTGTCCTCACCTTCTTGGCTCTGCTCTTCCTGAACTAAGGTTCCTTATGTCTTCAAGAGTTTCTTTGAACATCAGAAATTTTCTAATAGGAAAATTGTTAGCTCACCTAGAAGCATACTGTGTTGAAGATCTTTGGTGATTAGGCATTTAGCTTGTTTGGCTTTGATTTGAGAGATACCTTCAAGATGTTCGTGATTTCATCAAGGCACAAACTTGAGTTGTACACACAGGCTGGGAGGCTGAGTGCAGGGCTGTGTAAGCCTAGCTTCCTGAGCTCAGTGTACAGGCCTCTAAATGGGCTTGGTAGTGCTGGATGGACCTGCCCTTTATATGTATATGGGAAAATATACACAACACCAGTGTTGGGGCGTTGTAGAGATCTTGAGGATGCAGTCCTCACAGGTGTTAGAGTATAATTTAGAAGAAGATAACATTGATGGGTGATAAACTGAAGAGAAAAATCTTTAAGATGATAACTAAGCCATAATGACTTATTGTCAAAAATGTTAAAGTCTTTTTAAAAACAATATGAATATAATGATCAAGTTAGAGTTAGTGCCTAAGAGGCCTTGAGTGAGGTACTCATTCATCCCTTTAAGCCCTAGTCTCGTTGTCTGTGAAGTATTTGTTCTAACTTCACAGCATTGTGGTGGGGAAGAAGTCATATTTTGTTTGGTGTGTTAGAGTTCTTCCAGGAAACAATAGGACATGTAGAGAAATATATAGGAAGGGGCTTATTAGGGAAAATTCTCACTTAATTATGGAGGCTGAGAAGTCTGGTGATAGGCTGTCTGTAGGCTGGAGAACCAGGGAAGCCAAGGGTGTGGTTCTTCCAAGTCTGAACCTCAGAGCCAGGCAAGTCAATGATGCAACTCTCAATCTGAGGCCAGAGAGCTGCAGGGCTGGGAGACTGCTGGTGTGAGTCCCAGAGTCCAAAAGCTGGAGAACCTGGAGTTCCGATTTCCAACAGCAGGAGAAAAAAGGTGTCCCAGCTCTGGAAGAGAGAACAAGAATTTGCCCTTCCTCCACCCTTTTGTTCCATCTGGGGCCCCAGCTGATTGGATGGTGCCTGTCTATGTTGAGGGCAGATCTTTCCCACTGTCTGCAGACTCACACACCAGTCTCCTCTGAAAAACACACTCACAGACACACCTGGGGCAGCCCAATCATTCTAATCAAATGCCAAACCACCTGGTTCCCTTTTCAACAGAAGTGCTCGCTGAAGCATTGAGGGTGATTAATGCAATGATTGAGAGTAAATAATCCTTTACCAGGTATCCAGGTATCCCTTAATTAAGTCAAGTTGACACCCCAAATCACCCATCACTCTGTGTGTGTGTGTGTGTGTGTGGTGGTAGCACGGTGCTTGGCTCACTGTAGCTAAAATTTAATAAATTACTTATAAAACTATATAATCTGCAAGGATGGCACACTCACTTTGATGCTAAAATATTTTTGCTGCTAATCAATAGAAATTGACATGTTAACTTTTTCTTAATGAAACAGGTATCACCTCATCCTCATAGTAGTTACGGTAGAACAAAATTGTCCTTCTTAATAAACCAGTAACTTGCTACTTAAATAAATATGTTGCGGTTGGTTAGGCTTTGTTATGGTTTAAAATATTTAAGTGGCAAATAATGCGATAATAGTTTCTTGAATTATCTTTAAATGTACTTTTTGGTAGAAGATTTAATTAAAATGTATTTTGGTAGTAGATTTCACATTTTATTTAACATTGTCCCAAGTACTTTTATATGCTGTGTCTCACTTGATCTTTCTAATGAGTAGGAAAGGTAAATATTATTAGTCTAGTTTCAGACTTAAGGAAACTGGAGCCTCACAGAGATTGACTGTCTAGTCATATAACATATAGCTGTCCACACCTGGTACATACTGCAAGCCAGATTTTCTGACCCAAGTCATGTACTCATTCCTTCTCACACTGCCTCTCCTTGTTGTAGTTATCAATCACTGGATTCAAAACTAAGGAACTTAAGTATTAGGTTGGTATAAAAGTAATCGCAGTTGGACCATGAATTTGAAATCATTATAACTAGGCTCAAACACATCTTTATTAATCAAAATAGGAACCATTACAATCAACACATTTTTGCCAGTGAAAAATAAGTTTATTCATGTAGCTTAAAAATCCGTGCTTCAGGATTTGGCAAACTCTTGGAAAGCATTTTCTGCATCCTGTTGCTTGTGGAAGCGTTTTGTCTACAAAAAGTTGTTGAGATGCTCGAAGAAATGGTAGTCAGTTGGCAAGAGGTCAGGTGAATATGGCGGATGAGGCAAAACTTCTTAGTCCAATTCACTCAACTTTTGAAGCATTGGTTGTGGGATATGTGTTCACGTGTTGTTGTGAAGAATTGGGCCCCTTCTGTTGATCAGTGCTGGCTGCAGGCACTGCAGTTTTTGGTGCATCTCACTGATTTACTGAGCATACTTCTCAGATGTAATGGTTTCACTGGGATTCAGAAAGCTGTAGTGGATCAGATGGGCAGCAGACCACCAAACAGCGACTTTCTTTGGTGGAAGTTTGGCTTTGGGAAGTGCTTTGAAGCTTCTTCTGGGTCAGCCACTGATCTGGTTGTTGCTAGTTGTCATATACAACCCACTTTTCATCGCATGTCACAATCCAGTTGAGAAATGGTTCATTGTTGTTGCATAGAATAAGAAGATGACACTTCAAAATGATGATTTTTAAAAATTTTTGGTCAGCTCATGAGGCACCCACTTATTGAACTTTGTCACCTTTCTGGTTTGCTTCAGATGGCAAATGACTGTAGAATGGCTGACATTGAGTTCTTCGGCAACTTTTTGTGTAGTTGTAAGAGGATCAGCTTCAATGAGTGCTCTCAATTTGTGGTCAACTTCCGATGACTGGCCACTACGCTCCTCACCTTCAAGGTTCTCCTCTCTTTTGCAAAACTTCTTGAACCATCACTGCACCACATTCATTAGCAGTTCCTGGTTGCAATGTTGCGATGTTGCAAACACCACTGCTTTACAACTCATTTTGTACTTGAATAAGAAAATTGCTTGAACTTGTTTTTTGTCCAACATCATTTTCATAGTCTAAAATAAACAGGAAATAAACAATGAGTAATAAGTTATTAGCAAAAAACCTAGAGTGAGAAATGCTCATTAAAATGATGTATAACATAACCACATTTATTTAAGAATGTATTCCGATATCAAATGGCAAATTCCAACAATGCAGAAACGGCAACTACTTTTGCACTCACCTAATATATTTAAGCACATGCCCCTGGATTTTGATTAGCTCTCTTAGTTATACAGGAAAAACTTCTTAAATACTGTGCATTCTTTGCTATGCAATATTTAACTATGAATTTCTGACTGTTGCTATGGATGCATTTATATTTTTGTGAAAATTAATTTCTAGGGTATGTATCCTCAGTTACCATAGGTAGAATTTGAAAATACTTTCTGAAACAACATTTAAAAAAATCAAATTATTGTCACTTTACTACTGTGTTTTATTACAGCCTAATTCTTAAATCTTATAAATTACATATGGCATGTATTTTTTATTAAACTTACTGAGAAACAAAAGCTTTTGAAGATTTTGAAAACTCTATGAGATGTTTCTGAAAGCCTCTAGCAAAGAAAACATTTGAAAGGTGGAAACACTAAAAGATCACACATTAAAAAAAATTGATTGCTGCCAGGAGTACCATCTCTCAGTAGGTGGGCTTTTCTTAGAAACTCTCTTTTTCTCTTCATTCAAAACAAGGTCAAGAAGATGTGTCTTCTTTTGCAGTGCAGTGAGAAAGATCAGCAAATTAAAGAAAACCTGACTGTGGGAATATGGAAGACTATGGGACTGTGGGAGAATGTCATGATCCATGCAAGCCCACTGCTGGTCCTGAGGTGGGTTGGGTCAGTATGTGGTCGCTGAGCTATGTGACTATATTTGTTTCCTAGGGAGCTGGGTGTTAAAACAACAGAATTTGTCTTCCAGTTCCAGAGGCCAGAAGTCCCAAATCAAGGTGTTGGCAGAGCCACAGTCTGCCAGGTGATCTTCCTTGCTTCTGCCTAGCTTCTAGTGGCTCATGGCAGCCCTTGGTGTCACTTCATTTATACACGCTTCATTCCAATTTCTGCCTCTGTCTTCACATGGCATTCTCCTCTGTGTGTCTGCATCCAAATTTCCGTTTTTTTATAAGAACCTCAGTCATTGGACTACGGTATACTCTAATCCAGCATGACTTCATTTTAACTTGATTATATTTGCAAATACCTTTTTTCTAAATAAGGTACCCGGGGTTAGGACGTTAACATATCTTTTTTGGGGATAGAATTCAACCCCCAACATTGACAGAGCAGAAAGAAAATGTGACCAGTTCTATTCACCATGCTGCCAAGTGACCATGGGTGAAACCCCTGGAATCCTGGATACTCAAAAGGTGTTCTTCAGACCAGCAGTATCAAACATTACCTGAGCCTTAATTCAATATACAGAATTTCAAGCCCCATTCCAGATGTACTGAATCAGAACCTGTACGTTAACAAGATCCCCAGGTGATTTGTATCCACATCAAATTGGGCTGGGCACCGCCTAAGAACAGTGGTTCTCACAGTGTGGGTTTCACCTGTGATAAAAGAAAAACTTCAGCTGAATTAAATTTAAAGGAGTTTAATTGAGCAATGAACTATTCGTGAATCGGGCAGCCCCCAGAATCACAGCAGATTCGCAGAGACTCCAGTGCAGCCATGTGGTGGAAGAAGACTTACAGACAAAAAAAAGAAAAGGAATTGACATACAGAAATTGGCAGTGAGGTACAGAAACAGCTGGATTGGTTACAGGGTGGTGTTTGCCTTATTTGAACACAGTTTGAACACTCAGCAGTCTATAAGTGGTTGAAGTATGGCCACTGGGATTGGCCAGGACTCAGTTATTGTTATAGGCGCATTGAAAAAGTTTTTCATTTAGGGCAGGGGTTTTCATTTCTGGCTTCACAGAACTCTGCATGACTAGGCCTCACCCCTGGAAATTCTGCAGATCTAGATCTTTTGGAAGCTCTACAGTGGGTTCTAATGCATAGCCATAGTGGGACCCCTTTGCCTTAGGGAGAAATAATTGATGGTTAAGTTAACTTACTCCTAAGTTAGGTTTTCAATTTTGTCTATTAAGCTAGGTTATAGTTATCCACAAGAAGCCAAATATACAAGTCCTTCTCAGGCCATATTTGGTTTCCTTTAACACCTGTGAGCTTGTTAGAAATGCAAAGTCAGGGCTGGGCATGGTGACTTATACCTATAATCTCAGCACTTTGGGGGTCCAAGGTAGGCAGATCACCTGAGGTCAGGAGTTCAAGACCAGCCTGGCCAAGATGGCAAAACCCTTCTCTACTAAAAATACAAAAATAGCCAGGCATGGTAGCATGCGCCTGTAATCCCAGCTACTCGGGAGGCTGCGGCAGGAGAATCACTTGAACCCAGGAGGCAGAGGTTGCAGTGAGCCGAGATCATGCCACTGCACTCTAGCCCTGATGACAGAGTGAGACTCTATCTCAAAAAAAAAAAGGCAAAGTCATGGGTTCTATCCCATTCTGGTAACCCAGAATCTCTGGGCATAGGCTCCAGGAAACTGGCACAACAAACTCCCCAGGTAGTTCTTACACACTTATATTTTTGAACCGCTGATATGGTTTGAATTTGTGTCCCTGCCCAAATCTCATGTGGAATTGGAGAAGGGGCCTGGTAGTCGGTGATTGGATCATGGGGGCTGATCTCCCCCTTGCTCTTATCATAGTGAGTGAGCTCTCGTGAGATCTGATATTTTACAAGTGTGTAACTTCTCCTTTCTCTCTTTTTCTCTCCTGCCACCATGTGAAGAAGGTCCTTGCTTCCGCTTCACCTTATGCCATGATTCCAAGTTTCCTGAGGCCTCCCAGTCATGCTTCCTGTTAAGCCTGTGGAACAGTGAGTCAATTAAACTTCTTTTCTTCATAAATTGCCCAGCCTCAGGTAGCTATTTATAGCAATATGAAAATGGACTAATACAACCACTGATGTGAAGAAAAAACTCCAGAACTATCACAGAAAGGCAGGTGGCAAAGAGAAACACTTGCCCAAGCATAGGTGTGGAAGGCATCACACATAAGGAAATATGAGGAAAAGCCAATCTGGCACAGGGTAAGTGGGATGCCATTGCTCAAATCCAGAAAATTCATGTCATGGTATTTGGGCACAGAGGCAATGGGGGTCAGAGAATACCTCAGATGATGGGGAAATAGTTCGTGGTTGTAAAAAAAGGACACCAAGTACGGGACCCACATTTGCCATTTGAGAAAAATTTTTTTCATTTAGGGAAGGGGTTTTCATTCTGGCTTCACAGAGCTCTGCATGTCTGGGCCTCACCTCTGGAAATTCTGGAGATCTAGACATTTTGGAAACTCCACAGTGGGTTCTAATGCATAGCCCTCTTGGGACCCCTTTACCTCAGGGAGAAAGAATTGATGATTAAATTAAGCCATAGATGTTTGATGCAGAATATAAATTGCTCTATTGTAGACTGTACGTGTCCATGTAATGTGTCTATAGTAGCTGTTTAGTAAGCCTCAGAGAGCAACTGTAGTGGGGGTTTTTTGGTTCTATTAATTCTTTATTTCCCAAAGTCCAAATTAAAGAATCCTTTCCTGAGGCCTAGAGGCCCTAAAAACATGATAGATCCACTCAATCATCCTGTCGTAATTTGCTGATGGTATAGACTATCCTTTACTGAGGCAGCCGGATCAATAGTCATACAACAGGGATGCAGGCTCGCTGGGCATGGCCATCCATTTGTTATGTGTATGCTGTATGGTAGATGCACCTGATAGTGATAACTTAAACACACCCTGAGAATGCCCTGTATGGCAGATGCACCTGAATATGTGTTTGGAGTTCTGAGCTAAGGAATCCAGGAATGGCCAATCTGAAAATTCATTCCTTGTCTATGAGGAGCATCTAAATCCCTGGCCTGTCTTGTGGAACATGGGCAATACAGGGCAACGAGGCCATTTGTTTTGGGTTAAATGAAGATTGCCAGGTAGAGGCTGTTATGGGGAGAGTGCTAAGTGAAAATGCTATATAAACTGCATGTTTTTCTCTGGCCAGCCTGCCACTACTGGGTCATCCCAGTATGTACGTTTCCTGCTAATAAAACCCTATGTCTCTGGGAACAGAAAAACAAACAGACAAACAAACATACAAAAACCAACCTCCAAACCCCTATGTCTTGTTTTCTAGCTCTGAGTTTCTTCTTTGGCATCCTAAACCTACTCCCATCCCTACTGATGTTAATAGAGGTCTGGCATGACGTATGTATGTGTGTGTGTACATATGCATAACTGAACAAAGTAGACAAAAATGCCTGTCTTCATGGAGCTTATGTTCAATTGGGAGAAGATAGGCAGTAAACAAATAATTAGAATTTTTTTTATATCAGATGGATATAAAGCAGGTACACAGGATGAACAGTGATGGGGTGTAGAGGGTTACAGTTATATAAAGTAATCAGGGATTGCTTGATTGCCATTCTAGACTAAGTAATTTGAGACATGCTATATTATGGACATTGTGTTTTACATCAAGAAGGAAGCAAGACAGATTCAAGAAGTTGCCTTCTCCTATGTCCTCCTTTTCACCCAAGAATCCTTGGGAATCCAGAACTGGGCTGTCCAGTGTGATAGCCACCAGTCCATGTGCTACTTAAATTTAAATTAATAAAATTAAATAAAACTTCAAAATCAATTTCTCAGTCACACTAGCTACACTTCTAGTGCTTAAAAGCCACAGGCCTAATGTCTACTATATTGGACAGCAATTATTGCTATTCCATTATTGCAGAAAGTCCTGTTGGTTAGAGCTGCTCTTGAATGAAGTGGAATAGTATCTTAGACAAGGAAAATGGCTTAACAATGGGCACAATGACCTCGTTTCAACTGCTGATTATAGGAGTTCCCTTCTTTAAGGAAATACATGTGACTAAGATTTAATGAAACATAACATAGAAAATAAGTAGCAACATTTTAGAAATATTTCTTTTTCTAAAAGGAGTTATTGTAGAGTTTAAAAAATAATGATATTAATTAGTACATTTAAATTCAACCTCACCCAGAGAAATGTACATGCCCAGTTGTAAATTGTAAATAATTAGTTTACAATTTGCCAATTGTTATTTATGAACTATTTATAAATAATTGGTTTCTTGTGCAAAGGAAGGTATCTTGTTAGCTAAGCAATCATTTTGTTCCTCATTCAGTCACTCACCAGCGAAGAGAATCTTTTCAATTTTTAAAACTGAAGTTAGTTGTCAATGCCACCTAGAAATATGAAAATAAAAACAAAAACACAGAATAAATTGATACTGAGAATGTAGTCCCAAGCTTCACAGAGACTTGAAGACAATACTAAGTAAACCATGTTGATAATTTATGATTGTTAGTGGACTTAGGTGGGGGATTGAAGCGGGGAGGAGATAACAGGAAGTCTAAGAACAGGGAGTGGCCTCTTCTAGGGTGTCTCTACTTAGTGTGAGAGAGAAGGCTAGTAGGAGTGCATCTTGATAATTTCTGCCTCATCTTTCTCCCTGCTGGGGTGTGAATGTTTGTGTCCTCCCAAAATTCGTATCTTAAAATCTTAACCCCCAAAGTGATAGTATTAGTGTTAGATGTCAAAGTGCTAGCAGCCCTCACTCTCAGCGTCTCCTCGGCCTCAGCATCCACTCTGGCGGCACTTGAGGGGCCCTTCAGCCTGCCGCGGCACCGTGGGAGCCCCTCTCTGGGCTGGCTGAGACCGGAGGCCCCTCCCTCTGCATGCCGAGAGGTGTGGAGGGAGAGGCGGGGGCGGGAACCAGGGCTGCGCGCTGCGCTCCTGGGCCAGCGTGAGTTCCGGTGGGCGCGGGCGCGGGCTCGGCGGGCCCCACACACGGAGCGGCCGGCTGGCACCGCCGGCCCAGGGCAGTGAGGGGCTTAGCACCCTGGCCAGCAGCTGCGCCAGGTCCCCCAGCAGTGCCGGCCTGCTGGCGCTGCACGCAAATTCCCGCCGGGTTTGGCTGCCTCCCAGTGGGGCAGGGTTGGGACCTGCAGCCCGCCATATCTGAGCTCCTCCCCCTGCGGTTGGCTCCCCCGCTGCCTTGAGCCTCCCCCACAGGTGCCGCCCACTGCTCCGTGGGGCCCTGGTCGCATGGACAGCCCAAGGGCTGAAGAGTGCAGGCGCAGCTCAGGACTGGCGGGCAGCTCCGCCTGCAGCCCTGGTGCAGGATCCACTGGGTGAGGCCAGCTGGGCTCCTCAACTGGATGGGAACTTGGAGAACTTTTATATCTAGCTGCAGGATTGTAAATATACCAGTCAGCACTCTGTGTCTAGCTCAGGGTTTGTGAATACACCAATCGGTACTCTGTATCTAGCTAACCTAGTGGAGACTTGGAGGACTAGCACTCTGTGACTCCGTGTCTAGCTGAAGGATTGTAAATGCACGAATCAGCACTTTGTGTCTAGCTCCGGGTTTGTAAATACACCAATCAGCACTCTGTGTCTAGCTCAGGGTTGTGAATACACCAATCAGTACTCTGTATGTAGCTAACCTAGTGGAGACTTGGAGGACTAGCACTCTGTGACTCTATGTCTAGCTCAAGGATTGTAAACGTACCAATGAGCACTCTCAAATTGGACCAGTCAGCTCTCTGTAAAATGGACCATTCAGCAGGATGTGGGTGGAGCCAGATAAGGAAATAAAAGCAGGCTGCCTGAGCCAGCAGTGGCAACCCGGTCAGGTCACTTTCCGCAGTGTAGAGGCTTGGTTCTTTCGCTCTTTGCAATGAATCTTGCTGCTGCTCACTCTTTGGGTCCACGCTGCCTTTATGAGCTGTAACAGTCATGGCGAAGGTCTGCAGCTTCACTCCTGAAGACAGTGAGACCACGAACCCACCAGGAAGAATGAACAGCTCCAGACGTGCTGCCTTTAAGAGCTATAACACTCACCACAAAAGTCTGCAGCTTCGCTCCTGACAGCAAGACCACGAACCCACCAGAAGGAAGAAGCTCCAGACACATCTGAAGGTCTGAAGGAACAAACTCCAGACACCCCATCTTTAAGAACTGTAACACTCACCACGAGGGTCCGCAGCTTCATTCTTGAAGTCAGTGAGACCAAGAACCCACCAATTCCAGACACATTGGGAGGTGGGGCCTCTTGGGAGGTGTTTAAGTCATGAGGGTGGAGCCTTCATGAATGGGATTAGTGCCCTTATGAAAAAGACCCAAGGGAATTTGTTTGCTCTTTTCACCACATGAGGAGGTAGTGAAAAGACAACTGTCTATGAGTCAGAAAGTCAGCCTTCACCAGACGTGGAATCTGCTCGCACCTTGCTCTTGGACTTTCCAGCCCTTCAGAACTGTGAGAAATTTCTGTTGTTTATAAGCTATCCCATTTGTGATAATTTGTTATAGCAGTCCGAACTAAGACACTCCTTTTCCTTCTGTTTTCCATATCTGCCATCACCTTTATCCCATGCCTTTCTTTGTTCTCATTCTTCTAGGAAACCACATAAAATATCCAGAATTTCAAATGGGCATGCTGAGGATTGGGATGGTTCCAGGTGGAAGACTTGTTCCTGCTTCCCTAGGATTTATTGAGAACAGAAACTGCCAAGTTTTTAATCGTAGTCACAATCTTCTTTATTAGGCTGATAGTCCTATTATCTGTCTGCATTTAAAAGATAGCCTTTCCAGGCAGGGCACAGTGGCTCATGCCTGTAATCCCAGCATTTTGGGAGGCTGAGGTGGGCAGATTACCTGAGGTCAGGAGTTTGAGACCAGCCTGGCTAACATGGTGAAACCCCATTTCTACTAAAAATACGAAAAAATTAGCTGGGCATGGTGGCACGTGCCTGTAATCCCAGCTACTTGGGAGGCTGAGGCAGGAGAATCGCTTGAACCT